AGCTTGTGGTTTTAGGCAAGTCACCTACTTGCTCTTAACTCAGTTTCCTCACCCCCCCAAAAATGGGCCTGTGGAAAAACTCAGGCACAGCACATACATGACGATGTTTTGTCCACGGAGGGGCAGTATTCAGTGTTTCATTACGGTGTTCCCTCCGGGCTGTGCCCTGTTTCCTCGTGTTAAATGTTTGCTGCCCTCACGATGCATACTTGACCTCACCCTTCAGAATGCTGTTCCATCTTAGCCGCAGGAAGTGACAGAATTTATTTCTCTGATAAAATACCTAACTCCTTAAGAAGCTTTGGAATAAGACGGCCCTGAGTGCCTTCACTTATTACATGTAGCTTCTGAGAACCCCTGAGAAACGTGGAGAATATTTGTAAGACTTTTTCTCAGACTTTTCCTCTTTAAAAAAAATGGGGGCAACAGGAGCTTGCGGGCTGCACCCTGACGGGAGGGCGCCGGAGACCCGCGTTCCCGGGTGTCCAAGGACCAGCGCCGGTGCGCAGTCATCTGGGGCGCGTCTCAGTTTAGTCACCACGACGGCTTTCTCAGACAATACGAAGCTCCTAAAACGGTGTCTGTCCCATAATGAGGAATCAGCGAATGCTTAAAAGGACTTCCGGTGCTCAGGTCCTCTGCGGCCCGACAGCCCGTTCCCACCCCAGCCGCCCCGACGTCCCGGCAGGAGCCCTGAGCCAGGAGATCGTTTCCTCGCCGCCCCGCACGGACGCTGGCTGGGAGGCTCCTCTCTGTCCACGTCTTCCTCGGAGCTCCAGGCCCTGCAAATTCTCTCCTCAGCCCTGATTCCCCCGCCGCAGACGGACCTTTCCCCGCCGTGTGTCTGCGGGTCACCGCATGCCGGACTCCACGAGGCTGAGAGACCCGCAGGGCCGCGCCTGCTCCTGGAACTCTCCAGCCGCGCTCCAAGCGCAGCGTTGCTGCCTACGTGGCAGGCGCCCAGACACGGGCGGGGACAGTGCAGGGGTGGGGACAGGGAGGCAGTGTGTGCGAGACCGGAGAGGGGAGAGGGCGAGTGTGTCAGCATGGGGGGCAATTGGGGTCAAGGCGCAAAACGGCTGGCACCAATAATGCTGAAAGTGGGCTGGTGTTGAAGGAACATGGCGATCAGTCACCAGAATTAAAGGTTTTTGTACCGTCGTGAAGGCGAAAAGCGGTTGCTCGCTAAAGAAACATCACTGAAGTTCACAAAACAAAAACAGACTTAGGCAACGCTCCTCAGCAGCAAAGGGCGCTGCCGGCCCAGTGGTTCTCCCGGGGGCCCGAGCAGCAGGTGCGCGGGACGGAGGAGCCCCGAGACCGCTGTGTCACCAGGGCAGCGTCCCTCCCGTGGGTGCCTCGTTTCCAGCCTGACGAGTGTCACGTTCTCCCAGAAGCTCTGCCTGGTGACATCCGTCTCGGCAGGTGACTTTGGCCCGTCCCCATCGCACAGCGCCGGGCTGCCGAGTAGAAGCGCCCTGAGGCCTCTGGAAGGAGGCACGGAGGGTGGCCTCGGGTCAGGCTGTCCCGGGAGCATTCCTAACTCTCCGGAACACCCTCCGCCCTCCGCCCGGCCCGGCGTCCCGGCTGGCCCGCTTCGCTGGCTGCGCCTCGCGCCGGTCCTGCGCGGTGCTGGCGTTTCCGGGCTTGAGATGCCGTCGGGTTTAGCGAGGACGGCGCGGGCCTTGCTCTTTTCCCGCGCACGCTCCCTGTGCGTGGCGAGAGCGCGGCCACCGCCGCCAGCCTCCCCCGGCCTTTCCACACAAGCCAAACCCTCCACCCGATGCTGCCGTTTTGCCCGCAATGCTTGTGAATTTTCGCAAGGCGGTGTGGGCGAGATGGAGAATAGTTTCTTATCCTGTCATAAGAAGAAAGCCTGCTTGTTTTTCCACCAGTGGACCTGCAATGGATGGAAGGACTGGCGAATGTTCCGCTGGTTAAATGCAGACAACGCCCGTGCTCGGCCGCGCTGCCTCTGAGGGCCAGGGCCTCCCCTTGGAGTCACACGTCCGCGGAATCCAGGCGGCCCAGCACACCGCGGACTACCCGCAAATACACGTTGAACGCACGTGGATTCTTTACTTTCAACCGCACCTGGGAGCTCCGCCCTTGCGGCGTTGTCGGTGTGTGAGCACGCGTCTCCCAGGACCTGGGGAGAAGGGGAAGAGGCGCCCCCCTCGCTCACACCCCCTGCTCGGTCCCGCCTCTGCCTCGCTGGACGCATCGCTTAACCCACCTGGGTCCGACTCCGTGCAGCTGCGTGAGAGCGCGGACGAAGTCTCCCGGGGAAACTGGAGGGCAGCAGTTGTGAGAATTAAGCAAGATACATGGAAGTCAAAACACTGGACTTTGTAAATCATCAAGTGCTAAGGAGTTGCAGGAATGCAGGAATGGAGAGCAAACCCCTGGGTTTGAATTTCCGCCATGCCTGTTATGGTCATAGCACTTTGAGAATGTTAGAGAAAATCCTGGGATTCTTAGCTTCCTCATCTATGACCAGGAATACTGGTGCCCGCCACGTGGAGGTACCCTGAGGACTAAGTGAGACCAAGCACGTGGAAGTGGCGGCAGAGTGTCTGACACTGGAAGCCTTAGAAATAAGTGGTTGTTGTGATCAGTGCCCGTGCTTACCTCGCATTATTCTGAGTTCTGATGACAGGATTTGAGTTCTTTGTAAGTTCAAGCCTTATGTAATTTCATACATTTGTTGGTTATAAATATTTTCAAAAGCTAAAAGTAAGCTATCACTCTACACCGTATGATTACTTAAAGGTGCATGTTATATTTTATGATAATTTATGTATCATTCCAATTCCTGTTCTTCCAGCATGTAAGGTACCAGACTCCATTTGTGTTTGCATCTTTTATATTCAAGCCGGATTGTATAAATATGACTGTGGGTGTCACCTAGAAACTACATGCCTCTCTGCTTCCTGTGGTCGCTGGTGGCTTCTACCCACATAAGAGGGGAAAGAGGAGTCGAGGAACAGAAAGTAGACACACATTTCTCTGTGTCAGGTGCATTTCATTCATTTTCTCTGGGACCCTATGAGATAAGCGTAATATTTTCCATTTTATGGTTGGGGAATCTGGGGCTCAGGGTGGTTAGTGACCTCTCTAGAGTATAGCTGGAGAGAGAAATAAAAACCCAAACTCAGGTTTGTCTGATTTCCTAAGGCAGAGGTCTGACTTCATAAAGAAAGAGGAGATTATCAGGGCCACAGAATACAAGAGGAGGCTTCAGAGATATTGCCTGCCAGAATCTTTGCTATTATCAGGGACTTTTTTTTTTTTTTTTTTATTGGGTAGGGGGGGGCGGGGAGTTGGAAGAGTAGAAGATGGGTTTGTGAGATGCATTGTTTTCAAACATAAAACCATACATTAAAGAAAATATCTAAATAGATAGCATTTCAGTCTTTTTCATTAGAAACGTCCGGCTCACTCTCAGTCACTGTACTTGCTGAGTGATGTGTGTTTTTATAAAGCCTGTGCTATGAGCACTTAACCAGACATATTTAATCACTTTCTTAAACTTACGGGTCATTTAATAATATTTGAGTAAAAAGTGTAAAGGAAAAACATATTTTAAATAAACTTGTCACTCTCCAGATTAAATGACTGTTTAGTTAACAGAACATCAAAATGGAAACAAACAGATGCCATCTCCAGTACCCGTTTTTGCAATGTCTTCCCACGGAAACCCAAACCCAGCACTGCCTACGGAGAGGAGCAGGGAGGAATGGCAGTGGGCGCTGAGGGTGAGGTGCGATTCTGTGCGGCAGGTCTAGGCCCTTGTCTCATGTCCTGCGAGTTCTTATTTAGCAGGAACTGAAACTCAGGTAAGTCATACACCGAGTTCAGACTGAGACTATCCGGCTTCACATCAGACCACACTGCCTCCAAGAGGAGCCAGGGCTGTTGTGTCGCTGAATGTTAAAAGATGTTTGTCGTGTGAAAATTTATGTACTCAATGGGCCACGCATGAATTGTGAGGAGGTCTACAAGTCTGAGGTGTGTAGAAGTAATTAACATATGGATTTTCCCAACATACTTTAGCTTGCAGCCTCTGAAAACCTGATGATATAGTTTGGAACATGCAATGCTCTACAGATTTTTGAGGAGGCATTCTCTAAGCAAAACAACCCTCTTAATTCAATTTTAGTTGAAAATGAAATTGTTCTAAACTTTGTGTTACGATCAAAGAATAATTCAGGCCTAAAGGCAATCTTTCTGACCTACCTTGAAAATTACTGTTCCCTCCATTGGAAGATGAAACAAACTATGTGCTTTAAAAATCTCTCAAGATTAAAGAAAGACAGAATTCTTTCTCACCTACCATGGCAGACTATGCTCAGTCTATGACATGTATAAGAGAACTCGCCTGCTTTATTTATATAAACAATTGAAAATGACAAATTAGTGGTGCACTGGCAAACAAAAGTCAGCAAACCTAACTGTGTTTTAGCCAATGCAACTGGACACGTTTCAAAATTGAAAACCATTTTGTGTTTTCAAGTGACATTACAATTACAGTGATTGATTTCTCAAAATATTAATGACTATGAGGTGAAAATGTCTATTTTTATTTTACACAAATGAAAGAAAATTTTTTTAAAAGTATGTAAAATCAAACAACTCTAGATAAACATAAAATGAATTGTCAGCCACAAAATAAAGACCTGTTACGTGCAATACTGCCAAAAAGATTTATAGGTATATTCACCTTTTATCTATCTCTGCTATCTTCTTTGTATTTTTTTATTTAGACTTCTTTGAATAAAGCACTAGAATAAAAGCTCAATAAGGTCAGAAATCTTTGTCCATTTTTCCTGTTACCTCTGAGGTCTAGAATCATCCTTTTGCGTGTTAGACACTCAATGAACACAAAAAGAACAAGTGAATGAAGAAGCAAAATCAATAATCCAAAGGCCATCACAACACATTTACTTCGTGCGTTTGACTTGAAGATGGAAAGAAATGCTATGTTTCTTGTCTTTTAGGTACACAAAGATGAAGACGGCGACCAACATTTATATATTTAACCTGGCTTTGGCAGATGCTTTAGTTACGACCACCATGCCCTTCCAGAGCACCGTCTACCTGATGAATTCCTGGCCTTTCGGGGCTGTGCTGTGCAAGGTAGTCATTTCCATCGACTACTACAACATGTTCACCAGCATCTTCACGCTGACCATGATGAGCGTGGACCGCTACATCGCCGTGTGCCACCCCGTGAAGGCTCTGGACTTCCGCACGCCCCTGAAGGCAAAGATCATCAATATCTGTATTTGGCTCCTGTCCTCCTCTGTGGGCATCTCCGCAATCGTCCTCGGAGGCACCAAAGTTAGGGAAGGTAAGAGTGTCGTTTTCATTGCATTTATAAAAACGTGACTTCTAATTGTACAAACTTTTATTTCAGGGGTGAGTCGGACACATATCTAGTGGCAAAGCCAAAAGACAATGGAAATATAGTGTGTGCATCCATGAAAAATGAGAAATAAAACAATTTAGCATCTCTTTCCAGCTCTAAACACGGAAGGGGATAATGTCATTGCCAGAACACAGGTACCACCCATCTGTCCCCTGCTCTGGAAGTGCTTATCGGGATGCAGAGGGGAGGGCACAAAGAAAGAAACCACAGGCATGTGCATTTTTAAAATACAGGCTGGAACCCCAGGACACGCCTTCTTGCTCCTTTTCTCTTTCCCTAATGGGGGACTCGAATCAGTAGATGTGCTGGCTGTTTGCTCTCTCCCCCTTGAAGGATGAGCTCCACTTCACTATCTTAACAGCTCCATTTGGCCGTAGGCCACTCAGATCGGGTTCCCAGATGGACAGTACTTACCGATGAGCAGAACCATTGGATTTTGGACATACTAGTTTTTACCCCATGCAAACTCTGATTGATTAGGGAGGGTGGTGGTACCTGTGAGTACAGGTAACTGAATATGTGTAGCAAGGACTTGCCAGTCATAGTGGAAGGGCTGGCACTAACATCATGGCTTATCTGGTATATGGTACACGGACTTTGATTCTTTGTTTTTAGACTTAATTCAGGTTTTAGTTTACAGTTGCAGGTTCACAGAAAAATTGAGCAGAAAATACAGAGAGTTCCCATTTACCCCTACCCCACACATGCACAGCCTCCCCCACCACCAACCTCCCGACAGAGTGGTCCATTTGTCACACTCAGTGAGCCACCTTGACACATCATCATCACCTGGGGTCCATCATTTATATGAGAGCTCATCTTGGGGTTTGTATACCCTGTGGGCTTGGAGAACTGTGTAATGACATGTACCCATTGTGTTAATGAAGCATGCCTTTTCCTCTGAAACTATAAAATGGATTTCTAGCATAGCCACAGCAGGTGTCAAGCTGCAATATTTGGTTAATTTTAAGAAATGCCCAACTTTCTCTATCAGATAAACATTTTAAAATATGATTAATCAATGCAGGATTTTGCTCATTCTTACAACAAATAGAAATAAAGTGCAAGAAACTCTTCTAAGGCCTGCGTGTTTGTGCATAACAACTCAAATTCAAAAAAAGATGCTGAGTCTACACTGTGAAGGTGAGAAGAATGGGCTAAATAATATAGGAAGATAGATGATTTTTCCCAGGGCATATGAAGAACTGATTTTTATATTTCATGTTACACTTGTAGACTTAACCACCACATTCCTTCTAATCGTGGTCAGAAAATGACATCCTGGAAGAAATAGATTTCAATTAGGCTTTTGAATGGGGAGATGAAGATGTGGCTTTTCTTGGAAGGAGTTGCTACAGGTGAATGTGTGAAGATGCAACGGAAGAAAAGATCTACCAAGTGTCAGGAGAAGGTTAATTTGTGCAGCAAAAAAAGGGAAAAAATTAAAATAGTCTTATAGGAAGGCTCCATTCTTCCATTATGTTTTTTTTAATTTGCAAAAGCAGGTTTTGTTTATATGATGCGAGATCGTCTTCATTGTCTAGTGCATTCGTTTTGGAGCGTTGCACCACACTGCATGCTAAGGCTCTTGGACGACCAAGAGGAATATTTTAGATAATCTGTGCAGGGAATCGGGCTGAATGGCACAGGTGGTTCACAGTCTCGTGTGTGTGGAATGCACATCAGGCACGGATTGCATCAGATCACATCCACCTGGACAAATCCTGTCTCAGCTAATGCTTCCAAGCTGACAGTATTTCCTTTTGGTTAAGAGCACAGATTCTTAACCTGCAGCCTACGTAGGATAGGATCCTGACTGCACCACTTACGGGCAGTGTCACTTCAGAGACATTAGGTGGGGAACCTGTGCTGTAAGGCCACACATGGCCTGCGCACTTCTCGTTAAGTGCGGCCTTTCGACTGAATCCAAATTTTACAGAGCAAATCCTTTCATTAAAAGGGGTGCAGCAGAGAAAGATAAAGCTTTTCTTGCCTCCTTTGGTGCTTAAAAAAGAACAATCTTGAAATCAGAAGGCCACAGGTTCCCCGCCCTCCTTGGACGTTTCCAGATCTAAGGAGTCGCCGCGTGGGAAGCTGGCAAAGCGGCACCTAGTGTCAATAAGCGCTCGGCAGATGCCAGCCAGCACTGTGTAACAGGTCATGCCTCTTCCTGTGTCTACCATCATCGTTCTGGTATTCATCCAGTACTGAGGTCTCTTGTATACAGCAAATTTTCACTTCATGGACATAAAATGTTGAATCTAATATTTTATATATAGCAGTATATATGTGTGTGTTGTTATTTATTTTGGAGAATTCATAGTCTGCCTATTGCTATTATTATAGTAGCTAAGAATTATTATAATAGCTACAGAAACAGATTTATCCTTACCAAAATGAATATACACAAGAAAAGCTTTAATTTAGCTGTTAGAACTAACTCTATAATTATGACAGCCATGAGACGTTGGAACATGAGTCAGCAGGAGCTGTGGCCCTCTGATATTCATATAAAAGGAAAAGAAAGACTACTTTTGGAACTGAGGCAATTGTCTGGATAATTCAACACGAAAATTTCCCCTTTGTCCTGAAAAGGAGCATGGGATAAAAACGGCACGCCTGCTCTTTCCTCGGCAGTGGTATAAATGCAGCTTCGCTGACTTTTCTGGAGGATTTTTCCAACTTTGTAGTTGGATGTTTGTTTCCCAAAGTCTTGGAAAAGTAGCTGTTGTGGCCAGGTGCAGTGGCTCACGCCTGTAATCCTAGCACTCTGGGAGGCCGAGGCGGGCAGATCGTTTGAGCTCAGGAGTTTGAGACCAGCCTGAGCAAGAGCGAGACTCCATCTCTACCAAAAATAGAAAGAAATTAATCAGACAGCTAAAAACATATAGAAAAAAATCAGCCGGGCATGGTGGCACATGCCTGTAGTCCCAGCTACTCGGGAGGCTGAGGCAGGAGGATGGCTTGAGCCTAGGAGTTTGAGGTTGCTGTGAGCTATGATGACGCCATGATACTCTAGCCTGGGCAACACAGTGAGACTCAGTCTCAAAAAAAAAAAAAAAAAAAAAGTAACTGTTGTTGGTTATTTCACTCATTCATCAGATATTTACTGGGCTCCTACTACACGTAAGACAATTTGTTCAAGAGGAAGCTGATGCTCAGAGTTGAATATATATGTCCAAATTAAACATTGGCCCTGTGTTGCCTTTGCTAATAGTCTTCACAGTAATAGCACTTTGCACAAAGACTTTTTAGAGAATCAAAAATTATAAGTTACTCTGGAAGCTTTCATTTACTCCTCAAAGATTTGATCTGGTATTTAATTGATAAAAGGAAGGTCTCTAAGATATTCAACTTTAATAATTACCCAAATGATTATATCCTTTGTATTTTAACATATGTATAATTGGAATTCTAATAAGATGCATTTTGTTATACTAAGGGATATTTGATTAAGATCACATTAAAATGTTTTAGAAAACATTATTAATATAGCTCTTTCACTATTTAAAAATGTTCTTGGACTATTTTTGAAGCAGATTTTTCCAACGTCAGAAGAAAACATTTTTATCACAAAAATTATACTCATAGTCTTGCTCATGACTACTTTATCTGTGAGGAAAGATCTGGGGAAAGAGAGTTCTGTTCTATACTGAGTGATTGACTACTCAGGGGCAGGAGGGGAAAGTGAGCTGATTGGTTCGTGGGGAAAAGATTGCTCATGAGTTCCCATGAAAGTAGTTTAAAAGGTACTGATCCTGGGTCCCTGCTCTTTCTAGTATTAAGGTCGCTCCAAGACAATATTACCCAGCAGAGAGAAGCAGAGCAAATAAAAGTTTTCTAAGTTCTCATATAAAGACATTTGCTTTATCTGAGATACATAGTAATGTTGGTATAAATGAAAAAAAAAAAGTGCCTGATTTACTCAAAATTCCCCTAATGATAATGATGATTCTCTTCCTCCTTCTCCTTTTCTTCCTCCTCTTTCTCCTCCTCCAAAAGTTTTACTCACATTTCAGTAATGCCCTTGATTACAATGTGCACCTTTGGGTCCATTAAATCACAGTACCTGGGTCAAATTTAGACAAATTTCATATCCATTTTTTGACCCACATAACAATTTCTTGTTAAACCAGTTAATGTTTTTCATAGAAGTTGGCTTTTGTTAAATTCAATGGCTAGATTTGAAATATTTAGTCATTTACTACATTAACTAAATAGACATTAACTTTAACTGCCAGAGCCTTAAGTCTGGAAGAATTGTTAACAAATGGAAATACAAATAAGTACCCATGCTATAAAATGACAACTTAGCTCCTCTGAAAACCATCAATGTCAAACCAGCTTCCACAACTAGGTAAGTAATATTGCTAGCTAATCTTACTTATTCTACACTATTGTGTATGTTACCAATAAATGGCGACTTTCTAGCATCCTTGTCCTTATGCACAAGGACAAGACGGTTAATATAATCTAATGGCATTCATGCCTAATCTGGTGGTCTACTTCAGGTGATAGCACCTCTCCATCATTGAGCCGTTGCAATCAGAAGTCTTAAAGTTCACATTTAAAACACTTCGCAGCCATGGCCATAGCGATAATAGGTTTTCTTTTCATGGTCTTGTTCACTGCCGCAGACGGGGAGGTCATCGAGTGTTCCTTGCAGTTCCCGGATGACGACTACTCCTGGTGGGACCTGTTCATGAAGATCTGCGTCTTCGTCTTTGCCTTTGTGATCCCCGTCCTCATCATCATCGTCTGCTACACCCTGATGATCCTGCGCCTCAAGAGCGTCCGGCTCCTTTCCGGCTCTCGGGAGAAAGATCGCAATCTCCGCCGCATCACCAGGCTGGTGCTGGTGGTGGTGGCGGTCTTCATCGTCTGCTGGACCCCCATCCACATCTTCATCCTGGTGGAAGCTCTGGGCAGCACCTCCCACAGCACGGCTGCCCTCTCCAGCTACTACTTCTGCATCGCCCTGGGGTACACCAACAGCAGCCTGAACCCCATCCTCTACGCCTTCCTGGATGAAAACTTCAAGCGGTGTTTCAGGGACTTCTGCTTTCCCATTAAGATGAGGATGGAGCGACAGAGCACCAGCAGAGTCAGAAACACGGTTCAGGATCCCGCCTACACGAGGGATGTGGATGGGATGAATAAGCCAGTATGACTAGTCGTGGAGATGTCTTCTTATGGTTCTTCAGGAAGAGAAGAGTTCAACGATCTAGGTCTAACTCAGATTACCACTGCAGTCTGAGATGAAAAGAGAGAATCTTTAATAAACTTTTTGAAATCTCATGTTTGGAAGTCCTAAGATGCAGACTGCATCGGCGATCCAGGTCAGTGGAAGCATGAAGGCTGCGGGGAAGGAGGGCGGAAAGTCCAAGCAACAAACGTGACTGTTCTCTAGGACACGGAAACCAGGCTGACTCTCGGTTCCTCGGATGAACAAAGAAACAGGCCTTTTTCTTCTGATGACCTAGATTTAGGTCAGCACCCATATCTTGTGGCCTTCCTATGCAATGTGGTTTCAAAAGCTCTATTTAAGAGAAAAAGAAAAGGAAAAAAACATTGGTTTCAGAGCTCAGGGGGCATCCAATCCAGATGTTAACAATGACAGTAACAATCTCGAAAAGAATGAGAACCGTTTCCAGGGCTCACACCCAGCTCACGTTACGCTGCGTGGACACGTGTTTCATGGGGTGATGTGGTGAGACCTGCAGCTGAAGTGTGACTTGGACCCACACCTGAGGTATCTGATGTTCATGTATAGTAGAACATTATCTCGATATTTATGAAATTATGTAAAAGGTGATTTTCAACACAGTTTAATTTCTTAAAAACTAGTTGTTGTTTTTTTCTTAGCATGCTATTCAGGTAAATAATCTTATGACAAAGCATGTCCTGATGTCAAGAAACATAAAGTGGCTCGAATACCACTGAAAAAGTATATAGTTTCATCTGTAAATAATGGTACACATGCAAATAAGGAATGGATTTGCCTTCTAGCCAGGGGATTGCTGAAGGCACACTAATGATATCCTGGAGTTTTAAGAGTTGAAGCTGAGACTTTTTGCTGGAAGTCAGTCATGGTGGGGTCTCTTTCCAACTCCCCAGATCCCATTTAGTCCTTTGTCCCTTAACAGTGCTCATAACTCATGTGTTAATGAGTCACAAAACCTTTAACTCGCTCCCAGGTTGCAGCGTTGGCAGAATCTAGTTTTTTTGTAGCATCTCTTTATAGCTGTTACCAGATTCTCTGTATTTATGGGGAGGAGGGTGTTTTGCTTATGGAGATCTCAAGATACTACTCTGTGGCTTTCAGCAGAAAGTAGAATTGTTCCTAAATGTGTGCTGAATGAGAACATTATGTTCCTCGGGGTTCCTGGACACACCTTGCACTGTGTTCTGTCAAGAACATACCTGCTGAGGATAATGTCATGAGCAACACATTTAGGATAATTTTGCTAAAACTTCCAGATGACATAGAAATTCCCTCTTTTTTCCCCTGAAATTTATGGTTTCAGAGGTAATGGCTTTTTCTGTAATTTTCCTGAGAAGAAAAAAGGGATACTTTAGAAATAACGTCCATCTCTATGCCTATATCTTATTAGGGCAGCACCCTTTGCAATTTAATAGAAAAATCAAATGTAAAGCCGTGTATAACTGTAGACACCACTACATAGGCAAGTTCTGTTCACCATGCATTTTCTCTCTAGTGTATAGCCTCTCTCCTTTTGGAAATAAAAACTCGCATTGAAGGTTTTACATGTGGTTTCGCAATTTTACTCTTATTATATTCGTGCCTATTCCAGATTGTCATGGCACCTAACACCAATGACTGAAGGTAGCAGGGCGGGGATTTTTCCTAGTGAAAATGAAGCACTCTTTTGAGCATTTCTTAAATTTCATTGAAATTCCTAGATGTCCTTGTATTATTATAATTGAATATAGCTAGGACTGGCTTAAATACAGGTTTATACTAACTCCTTAGTTAAAAATCTTGGTTATTATACAGGAAAGATGTCTTTATAGAGAGTAGTTTCAGAAACAAACCCCACTAAAATAGGAAATATAAAAAACCTCTTTCTAGAACAGCAAAACCCAGGAAACATTCCTGTCAGCTTCTTATCCAGTGCAAAATACAACAGAAAGACAACCATGGAATGAAATCAGAGCAGTGTGTTCTCTTTAAATCAGCACAGCCTGAGCTTTTGTAGCATTAACTGCCATTAATGGAGTCTGAACTGTTTGCCTGATCTCCTCTGCGTCTCTGCATGCGGAAGTTTGCACACAAAGAGATAGAGAAGTGACGCCCTAGAAGGGCTGTTCCTCCCAACCTTCTCCGTTTTTGTTAATACTGGCTTTCCCAAACTGAAAAAGGAGAGAAGATGGAAATGTCATTTCAGGACACTGCTTTACAGGAATGGTAATGTGAGTCCCATGCTACGAAAGACACCACTTAAGCAAATGTGTTTCTTTGTCAAAATGTACATGTTCACATGCGTGTATGCGTGTGTGTCCTGCCATGAAGCAGTGATCCTATTGCCATTCGCTCATCATTCCAGACAATGCATTTGTCTGAGACCCACTGCCTCTGAGATATCTCCCACCTTTTGATGCTCCTTTCTCCAACCTCAACAGGAGGGCACTGTCTGCTGCGTCTCTCTGAGACCAGCGCTGCATGTGTCTAACCTTGAGATGGGCTCTCCACGTGAACTCTATCTGCCCACCCTGGTAACAACTTATAAGAGACAGGACCTAGTGAGGGGTCAGAGAAAGTGCAGAGAAATGAACCAGCCATGCAGGAGGCAGCAGTGAGGAGGAAACCTGCAACTCGGAACCAGAGGAGAATGGAAACACTCTTAGTGCCTCAGACTACTTATGAATCTAAGAGTGTCCCTGAGAGTTTAAATCAAAATGCCAGGCTTAATCCTAAAAAGAAAGCATAATTTCAAAAAAAATCAAGAAATATTCACATATATCTTAAGAAGATGGTCCCATTCCATGATATATTAATGAGAAATAAAAGTCCTTAAACTTGCATAACTATTATCAGACAATTTATAGATGTTTCTGGCTTTAAATTGGAGCATTTGAAAGAGAAAACTGACAAAGTTGTATGTCCTTTCAATGAGATTTATTTCCTAACCCAGAGTTGTTTGGATGATTCAGCATAAATATGAGAATCCCATCCAAAAAGGGCATAAACTTGTCTGCCCTAAGGCAATTTTCTTCTCTGAAACAAAAGTATATTCACATATTCTTTACTATAATGTATATTATTTATATCTCATATTTTTAAAGATGATAATTATGCATTGTATAAATGATTTTGTGCCTTGCAATAAAATCAAAATTGTACCCTGCTAAAAATCTCAATAGTCAATTATCGTGGTAAATCATTTATTCTATAATTACTTCAATGATGCTGCACTTCTCCAAGAACAATGTTAACTGTTTCTCAAAACTGTAAGAGTTGCTCTAACTTGAAAATGATAGAGCAATGTTAATTGCTCTCATCCATGAAAATGTTGTTAATGATTAATGGAAAGAAACAAAACATGTGGGAATCTAAACTATGACCTTAAATTCCCAGACCTGGGAATCGCTTAGAAAAATTCACCTGTTTTCACAGCAATGATGTCAGGATCCCGGAATCAATGTTACATACTGCCCTCTCAATGAAAATAAACTTTTTCACTCACTGTGAAAAACATGAAAAATTCAAAATCAAACTGTCCCACCAATAAAAGCATAAAGAAATCAAATTTGACCTAGAAATAAAAGCAGCCTTCTGCCCTGCTGCCAATACAATAGAACCACACCACTGCCAGGAATGATCTGTTTCTAAACCCCACAGTATTTTATGTACAAAAAAAGAACAACTTAAAAACAAGTATCTTGACAAAAGAAAGACCTATAAGTAGAAGCAAAACTTAGACCAGGGAAGTAAAAAGGAACTCATCTTGCTAATTGGAAAGAACACACCAGTAGGTCCTATTCTCATTTTAAAACTGAGCAAATTTCTTATTACTGTTTACCTCTGATGGATAACTCAATTTCATAAGTGATTGGAGTGCAAATGTGGTATGGGTTTCCACTTCCATTTTTGGTGGATTCTTTGGTGTGTTTAATAAAAGAGAGAAAAAAATAAATTGGAAAAAGTCTAAGGAAATAAGAGAGCAAATAGTTTTTCATCTGAAACAAGACCCTTTCCTCAGGCTGGATGCTGTGTACTTGGGTATATAAATTTCTGAGTATGTGGAATGTGATTAGAAACTTGTTTTCTAAGGAAATTATGAATATATTTGGAGATAAAACTCAATATGCAGCAAGTTTTGGCATTATGATATCTTCTCTCTATAATTAATTTGCAGCACTATCCATTCCTGCTAATGGTCCCCTTGTTTGTAAGAACTAGTGATAACAACATAAAATAAACAAACAGACATTATAGATTCATTGCTTTTCAGTAACTGGTGCTTAAGAGAATATTCAATCATATTTATGCCAAGAACTATGCTAGATTCTGGATGGGCAAAGGTAAACAAACAAACATACTTTTTAAAAAATGCTTTACTAGTGAATTTATTAGTGCTTTAAGTGGCCAAATACACATTTGATGCTTATGGTCTAAGAAAGACAAGCAATTAAGCGAGTAACTGAAATTTATTGCAATGGGAGCACAAATTATTAGAATTCAACCTACTCTAAAAGGGCTATTTACCCATTTACCTAGATATATTTTAAAAATTGCCGTGTCTCTATCACAGTTATATTTGAAACTAATAGAAACGTTAAAGTAGCAATTATTTCAATATTTGCAGATAGTCAAAATAGCAACTACTAGTAAATAATATATGACTTATTTGAGTTTGAATTGGTGAAGGAACCAGTATGTTGGAAGCCAAACAATTTAGCAACAACACAGTCCTGAAACTATACTAGAAGATGAGACATTGATAATTATGAGCTATGTTATAAGGTGCATGTCAGACACAGACTGAACTACAGGATCGAGAGTAGTTGCTTTTAATATCTTGTTCATGGAAGTAGAAAGGAAAGAGTTAAAATAGCTGGTCTGCAACCAATTCATTTGCTTTGTGGGGGAGCCTCCCCACCCAGGTAACTGTCTAATCTCCTTGTCAACTGGACCTCTGATAAATAGTGATTTTTGTAGGGACCTTATCTATAGAATGTCCTTAGCAGGATGTTCCTGGCTAGAGAAGTACTTGTAATAAACCTGTAATCTATGTAAGT